GCGGAGCCCAACAGAGGGAGAATTGTTTTTTTCAAAATTTTTCCGATCTCTCNCGGGAAGATTTTTTGTAAATTGAGATAGAAAATCCCAGCTGTTGAACAAAGTTGCTCCAAATAAGTTTCCGAATTTACTTGAGAAAAAAAAGTCACGGGTCCCCCGACTGTTATTGCGTGCCCAAGAAGGTTCGGCCGGTTTCAATTTGAATTCCTTTTAATGTTTTAAAAGAGTTTTTTAAATTGAACCCGCAAACCATTATTTAAATTATTTTGAAAGACCCTTTGAAATTTCATTTTATTAATGGAGAGGAATGCAAAATTGTTCGGGGTAAGGTTTAGGACCTAAATAGTGAAGTCTCAGCCATGTTTTAACTGCAAACAAAATCATAAGCCGTTGATGATACGATTCTGGAGTTTTGTTATCCAAAAGATTCGATTTAGATGCTTGGATTTACGATAGATGATTTCCTCAATATGAGGTTTTTCCCAACTCTATAACTTTGTTTTAACCACGAAGAACTTTTTTTAAGATCGATAAGTCGTAGTGTTGAAAATAGTGAGTTGTATGCAAAAGTTAAAACCGATGGGTCAGTGACTGAAATCAGTAGGTTGGGCAAAGAACAACTTGGTGATGAGTTCATGTCTGGGCGTGTTTTCCAAAGTAACTTAATGTTTACCAAAAGGTCACATTCAAATATAAAAAGACTGAATGTCAAACTGTCATTAAAGGATCTAATGGCACCGACGGTTGGAGGATTTATTGCTTATTTATCATGGGGGGTTATTAAACCTCGTCGTACTGAATCTGAAAAAGGGAATAACTCTATGGTTGCCATATTAGGTTTAGGAGAGTATTCTTTAAGCCAATATTGGATAAATCCATCACTGCTATTTACTTCTAGAATCCCAACCCTGTTTGCTTATTCTTTTGGTACCATGAAAGTTATGGGCAGTTTAGTAGTTCAGGGATTTCAATTCTTTTCCTGGAGATCGATTCGTTCTATTACAGGACCATTGCTATTAACGACAGCAGTATTAGGTGTGGCATATTTAGTTCATGACTTGCCAAATGCACTACCAAAAAATTTACTTGAAAAATACAAAAACCAACTGGAAAAAGTTGATTACATTAATACTAATGCTGAACGTATTGTCAAAGAAGTTCGAGAAGTCTTAAAGATACCAGTTCGTGAAATTTTGAAGACTTCTGAATTGATACTTGACAAGAAACAATCTATCAAAAAACAATTGGAAAAGAAATATGAAGATATTCGGATATCATCTAGAATATTTCAACAAATATCAGAAAAAACTGCATCTCAAAAAATGGTTATCGACGCCTTAAGTCTTGATATTGATTAAAGATGTGGTTTAATCTCTCTAATGAAAGGACAATTATAAAACATTTAAAATAAACTCAATGATGTCAAATATGAACCGGAAAAATAACATAAAAAATATTCTTGTATGCATTAAATAACAAATAAATTCATGTAAATTTAAATAATTCCTATATAATCAAATTAAAATCTTTTAAGAATGAAATTTGAAATGACACTCCAACTAAACTATTTTGGATCTGGAATGTTGCTTTACTAAAAAAAGTAATTGGCATTTGATTCATAACATTTGATGATTCAGAAAAGTGATACCATAGAGGGCATAGAATAGACCACCATAATCCCAGTAATTGTTTGGTCTCTCATATTGATATTGTATCATTTTCCATTTTCACCTCTTTGTGCTTTCCACTCGGCAGAGCCACTGACCCTACCTTGCTTTTCAGTTTCAGAAGGTTCTTCTTCCTTTTTAACGTTTTCAATCCAGGAAATTCGTTCTCTTTCATCTCTCATTTCAAGATCATATATTTGATTTGGCGATAGATCAGCTCGTTGCTTCTTTGTTAATGATTGACATAAGAAATATAATTCAGTTTCACTAACTTTATCTCTTGGTAATTCATTTTGCAAAATGTATCTTTTGCTGACATCAGTGACACCTTCATTATTAAATGCCACACAATAGCTCATTTTCTTGTTCCAGTTAATGGAGTATATATAAGGTTGGTCGAACGATTGTTCGCTGGGGTCAACGTGGACCCATCTGTTAAGGTTAGTTGAGTAATATTCACACCACACATGGTCTTCTTTATTCCAAATGTATCTTGTCTCTAAGCCAAAAGATTTCAAAATCAATGTAAACAAATTTGCAAATTCACCGCATCTTCCTTGTCTTGTCTCTAACAACTTGATAGGATTATTGTATCTTGGGAATCTAGTAATATTTCCACAATTGTTACACTTATAAACCTCTACACTTCCACATTCAAAACGCCTCTCCTCTGGAGTAGGACCTTGAATCCCTATTGCAGATTGACTTTGTACAACATCAGATCCACATCGTTGGCAATCTGGTTGATTAACCCATTTGAAGAAGTCTTGTTTGAAGTATCTTAATAACTCTTTAACCAAAATATCAGTATACTCTTTATCAGAATCGGACTTAACTTGAGAATCGACATTCCCATAAATAACGTCCAAATCCAAAGTCTCCAAAACGGAAGAATGCCATTCAGGATTCTCATACACATAACACAATCGATTGCTTAATCCACATAGCTCTTTAGCAAAATTATTATCTCGTAATAACCTTTGAAATCTGGCAGTATCACTAGAATCCTTAACCTGATCAACAACCCAATCCTTATATCGAGACAAAAACATATTAGCAAGATTCTCAAAATCAATATCACTCGTAACCATCATACAGTAACCAAATCTCTCACACTTGACCTCTCTTTTCACCTTATTTAACGCTTACTCCTAATCCTTCTTCTTATAGATGTCATCTTCCATTATCCTTTATTATATTTCAATTTGATCGTTAAAGGCTTTAAATCAAAATGAAACTTGTAGATTTTGATACCACAACTGCAAAATACAAGTTCAATAATAAAAGCAATCCAACTGGCCAAATCCCAACTTGATGGAGGATAGAAGAGCAGGATTGGTCGTTCTTGGTGGGACCTATAGCATAGTTATTGTATCATTGCTATCTTTTTATTATGTCAAGGATAATGATACTTTAAACTACTATTGGTGTTGGGTATTTCTATGCCCAGTAATGTTTTGGTTATGGGCATTGATTGCATGGTGTGAAGCAGAGATGTTGAGCAATGCTAAGCGTATCTGAGTTTAGGTTTGGTTTATTTACATGTTTCATCTATTTACATATATCTATATATATTTTATTGTATATACAAAGAAAATTATAATGGATAAATTTATACTTTGGGGGAAAAAGACTTGATAGAAAGAGTTTATAATATATTTATTTCGGATCATTGTTCAATTATTTTATGAGGACATGTTTACCACATAGCATTTACGTTTACCTGTACGAAGTATTAGCACTTCGTTCTGTAAAATGTAATCATTAATTGAAACTGATGGATCAGTGACTTGTATTCTATCGAGACCTAGATAAACTCCACCTTGACTGATTCTTCTCTTTGCTTCAGAATTAGAACAGTTGGTGACTTTGGATATTATTTCAACTAATGAACTTCTGGTTGGTACAGTTTCGTAATTGCCAGCGACGTATGCTGCATCTAATAAGCTATCAACCGATACGCTTGAATCCTTCAATTTATCATTGAATAACATATCAGAGAGAATTTCTGCGAACCTACAGTTTTCATAACCGTGTATCAATTCAGTCACTTCCCTTGCTAAAGTTTTCTGTCCTTCTCTTAATTTAGGATCCTTGTTATGCATCTTCATTATGGAGTTAATATCTTCAAGAGATAACAATGTGAATATTTTTAGAAACTTCTCGATATCAGCATCTTCAACGTTCAAAAAGTACTGGAAAATGTCGTATGGTGAGTTAATATCTCTATTGATAAAGATAGCATTGCCGGCACTCTTACCAAATTTATCACCGTTGGCGGTTGTCAATAAGGATGATGTGATCGCATATGGTGGTGACTTCTTAGAATTTGGCTCAACACGAGATATGAAGTCAATACCAGCAGTGATATTCCCCCATTGATCACCACCACCAACTTGAATTGAAACACCTTCATTTTTGTAAAGATGGTAAAAATCGTAAGCTTGAAGAACTTGATACGTAAATTCGTTAAATCCCAAGCCATCAGATGTACCAATTCTTGCTGAGATGGAATCACGAGCTAGCATATTTTGAATTCTAATATGACGTCCATAATTGCCTAAGAAATCGAGCATTTTCACATCTTTCCACCAAGAATGATTATTAACCACTTGGAATCGTCTTAAGTCTATTTCTTTCTCGATCCCCCTACGTTCACAATATCTATATGCAGTGGTAAAGAAATTCTCTAATTGTCTACCAATGGCACTTACATTATCAATTCGAGTCTCTGAATCCATACCTTTCCTCTCAGTTTTTCTACCACTTGGATCACCCACTATTCCTGTTGCTCCACCAACTA